TCTAGAATTGTTAGACTACAACTCCCATTATCCCCAGTCCAAGCAGGGATGCAGAGACTTCAGGCCAGCGACTGTATTTCCCCAGTGCAAAAGGTTCATGTATGCAAAAGTGCCCCATGTTCTAGTTTTGCCCGTTTGGGTCAGGGCCTTAATGCACATTATTAAACATGAGGCAGTCACTTCTGATGGTATTTACCTAGATCCATATTAAAGCTGAACATTCTCCCTTTGGTATTTAAGGTGTATTGTGTTTTCAATAGAAATTAGGCTGTGCTGCATTCTGGCACTTCCTGCATTCCAAAAAAATGGAATTTTGTTGTAGAAACTTTGTCATCCTTTGCTCCAGACCAGGGACATTTTTTAAATCCTTGTCAGGAGAGCCCTCAAATGTTACCCTAATTGTGCCAAAGAGTTTCAGGACCTCAAATGTGTCTTCTCTTGTGTCAGAAATCTCTAAGGGAGCCAAGTCTTGTCTTGGATTTTTGCAATTTAGCTTATTGCAGCCAATATTGATTCATAATAGCACATCAAGGGAAACAGATGCCTGAGCATCTCTTTCTGGAAAACTGCCACTTCAGCTTTCTAAGGTAACATTCCTTAGGACAGTGGTTTGCAATAAGCTACACTTGTTGGTAGCTTGTCTCAAACCTAGCTTGTATCAGTGGCAGGGAAGGCCTGAGCTAAGCTTATTAACAATATCCTTATCCAAGTATTTTACTCCTATTTTTCTAATGGGAAAATGATGTGGTATAGAGCAAGAATTGCCAGCCTGCTGCCCATGGGCACAATACTCTCAATATTTCCTCCTGGCACCCACTTGGCCTTTGAGCTCTCACTGCCCCTTATGGATGACTCCAATCTAGACTATTGAATGTTCCACTTGCCACAAAGAGGCTTCAGTGAGGAAACCCCTCCCTGGGGGGAAGTGACACTGTTCCTTTGTCCTGTTGTCCAAGAAAGGGGATTCCCAGTAACTGAGGCTGCCTTGCTCCAGACTAGGAACAGAACATTGCAGGTAGGAGGATGAAACTTCTCTGGCTTTTGCTTGGTGTCCTGGGAATGAGGAAGATGAATTGTTAATCCGAGGAGGTGTCTGTGGCCTTGCACAGTTAACCCTCCATGTCACTATGGAAGCAGGACTTACCCGCTCTCCTAAGCCCAGTAGTAATGACTCTAGTTGCTTGCAGGGGTGGTCCTTGTGCAGACATAGCACTGCTGTAGGCTAATTACTTTTTGCCTAGACCATGAGACCAAATGCCAGGTGAAGGAAGCTTAACAATCAAGCCAGGTGAAGGGAGCTCATCAATTAAGCCTTGTGACTGGGGCAGACAAAAGCCATAGGGCTTAAGGAAGAGATGGAGGAGCTCTGTGATGCAGGCCTAAACTGGTGTAGGTGTTGCATAGCCTGGCCAGAATGAGGTCAACTGAGGTGCTACTGTATCCCTGGGGGTCCCAGCAGCTGGAAGAAGAGACTCATTTGCCAGGTATGTTCTGTCCTTGTTTAAAGAAGGGATTGTTTGCCTGGTATCCTTGTGTAAAAAGGAGGGCCTGGTATGTTAGTCTGTTCTGTCCTATTCCTGTGTCCTGCTTTATTCCAGTGCTTCCCAGTTGGCTAAGTACTGCAGACCCCCTGTTTTTCAAAAGCCAAACCATGGACCCCCCTACTTTCGGAACCTTTGATATCTGGTAGTTTTTATTATGTGAATGGTGCCACCAATTGATAGTGCTTTTTTATAGAAAGGTGTCTGTACTCACCATGAAGGTGTTGCAGTTAAGTGCCACACTTTATAACATTGGGGGGGGGGAGAGAACTGTACCCTAAGGAAAAAAGCACTGCCCATTGGGAACCACTGGTCTATTGTGTTTACTCTTGTGTAAAGGAGTGGTTCTCTATCCTTTGTATATGATAAGTCTGCTGCTGAATAAATTCCAGGCTAGTGTTTCAATCCTTAACAAAGAACCCCTTTGCCTTTGTTTGGCAAAGCACTTGGCTCCAGTTCTCAAGGGTGGAAAAGGGAAGGTGTCGAGGAAGGAATACTGTACTTGTATGTTGTTTTTTCTGGTTCCTTGCAACACGGTTTGAGAGTCATGCTAGTTCTGGAATATCAGATTTTGACAATAAAATCCTGGGAGTAGGAGGGTGAACTGGCAAAATGAAAGATATACAGTAATGAAAGTGGACTCTAGGTGTGGAAGTTAATATACCTTTCCAAGTATGTATGGAAACACCTTTGGAAGATCAGCCATACTCTTTCTTCATGCATGGAAATTAAGAGAAAATGTGTCAAAATGGTTTATCAGGTGCTCTGTTAGTCCACTACTGATAAGTGTAACATAAATAAAAGTGTTTTGTTCAAACTGCTGGAAATGTCAGGCCATAAAAAGTGGTGTTTTTTTTACTGTCTGTGGTAGAGTTGCTCGTGAGCCAACAAATACTGGAAAAAGATATAAAATGGAAACGTTACTGTACAATTTGACTCTAGAGATGATAGTTCTCTAACTTTTAATAGGCGTGCCAGATATGAGTGACAAATGCAAAAATCAGAGGGTGTCTCAAGGAAAAGCAATGTATTTAGAAATAATTGGACACTTTTATTTTTGTAATACCAACAAACAAGTTGAATAGCCATGTGAACAAACTTGCTTTTATTTGATCTACTGTGATGGACAGTTAAAATTAAACCAAATAATAGTTCTCCAAATTTTCCCTCTCTGTGTGGCTGGCTGAAACAGTAAAATGTATTTGAAGTGCACATTTCCTTACTCTTATCTGCAGTGATTTTATTATTAAGTATGGCATCTTCCTAGAGGTCCTAGAATAGAAAGAGAAAGAGGAGTGCTTTGAATAAGGTCTTTGGTGGGAAAGATCACAGTGCAGAGGAAATGGTGTGGGATACACAAAACCTGCCGCTCCAGAACTATTATCTGTAGGTGAATTCCATGCTCCACTGTCAAGCGATAGCCTTGCCATTCGCATCTACTTTAAGCAGTTGCTTCCCAAATGTCTGATAGACACGCTTCACATTTTTCACTCTCAAAAAATTAATCCTTTGAGGGGAACATTAGATGTTGACTTACACTGAGTCAGGCCATTTGTTCCTCTGTTATCTACACCTGTCTGTCCATGACACTCCAGAACTTCATAACAATCTCGCCCAGTCCTTTCTGGAGGTTCTGGCAACTGAAGCCGGGATCTTGCAGATGCAAAAACAATTGCTCTGTCACTGAGCTACAAGTCTTTCATACCTCTCATATGAAAGAGGGTTACCTGTTTGCAGAACAGTCTTTCTGCCCCTCTCCTGCCCATGTGTAAATTGCACTTATAAGCGTGTCTCCTGATTAGAAGCAAGCTAGCTCAGAGCAGGACACAGCAGGCAACTCTTGATGGTACAAAGCTCTACAGTCTGTGCTGGGACTGATTGATCGTACCCGACGCTACAAATTGGCACAGTTACTACCAGTGCTTTTTTTTTTTCCCTACTCAAGGGTACGCAGTACCGGCACCTTTTTTTTCCTAGAAGAAAAGTACAGTGCTACCTTGGGTTAAGAACTTAATTCGTTCTGGAGGTCCATTCTTAACCTGAAACCGTTCTTAACCTGAGGTACCACTTTAGCTAATGGGGCCTCCCGCTGCCACTGCGCTGCCGCCGCACAATTTCTGTTCTCATCCTGAGGTAAAGTTCTTAACCTGAGGTACTATTTCTGGGTTAGCGGAATCTGTAACCTGAAGCGTCTGTAACCTGAGGTACCACTGTATGGATTACTACCCACCTTCTGTGGAAGCAAGTTGGAAGGAACAAGGGCAGAGCAAGGAAGTATGCAGAGACACAGCGAGGAGCCTCCCTTCACATGCAAATATTAATGTACATCATTCACAGCATGTAGTCCAGGAATAATGGGGCTGGAATATGTCTCCATTGGGAATAGGGGAAGGAAAAGCTCTTGCTCTTCTCTTGTGCGGGTGCCTTTGGGGAAAGAGGCAGGGCCTGCACTTTTACTGTAGATATACTTTGATTTCTCTTCGGCTTACATGAATATTTCACCATTTTAAAGTGTATGGCTGCAGAGTGTTGATGCTTTCTGACAAGGCCAGTTGGTGTGGCCCCCTTGCCCTCCGCCCAGCGCCAAACATCAAAATGACATTCCAGGGCCCCGTATCAGTTAGACCAAAGTGTTTATTGGAAACCAGTCAAGTGTCGAAAGAGCTGTCAGATTTTCCACTGGGGTGGGGATGGAGATGGGGGACTCTGCACAGACTCAGCCAACACTTTATACTCTCGTGTGCTATGCTATTTAAAGGCTGTTACTACCAAAAAAAAAAAAAAAAGCCTAGTGGATGAGTCTGTCTGAGCTATGAATGCAACGTACAAAACTGGAAGTTGAGAAAGTGCTCTGTGTTGTTGTCATTGTTGTTAATTTTATATACTGCCCTATACCCGCAGGTCTCATGATGGTTCGCAGCATAAAATCACAATACTGTATAGAAACACAAACTGGGTTGCCTCAGCTACTCTGGGCGGCTTCCAACAATTTATAAAACTACAGCAAAACATCAAACATTTAAGGCTTCCCTATACAGGGCGGCCTTCAGATGTATTCTAAAAGTCAGGTCGTCGTTTATTTCTTTGACTTCTGACAGGAGGGCGTTCCACAGGGCGGGTGCCACTGCCGAGAAGGTCCTCTGCCTGGTTCCCCGTAGCTTTGACCTGGAGCATTTAGCAGTTCAGTTGAACTGGAAATTGGGATTATTATATTGATAAATTTGAAACCTTTGTGTGTGTTTTTTAAAAAACTGGGTGTGTCAAATGACTGCAGGCCTCCCCCTTGTCCCTTACGCCTGAACCACTGCCTTTGCCCCAGCTTCTCCTCAGAGAGCCAGTGGGATTGGGTAGGCCTCTCTCTCTCTCTCTCTCCCCTGAGCCCTGGGAGGGGGGTCCTGGCACAGATGTAGGCAGGGCAGGCCTGTCGCTTTAAAAGCTTCCCGGCTGAGCTACAGGGGGAAGCCCTGCCTCTCCCTCCCTCTGTCCCTGTGCCCCTCTCCTAGGCAGAGCTGAAGCCAGCCCAGTCCAGGGAGGAGAGCAGAGTGAGGGGATGCCAGCTAAGCTGCCTTAGAAGAGCAGGAGGAGAGGTAGGCGCCATTACAGGTGGCAGGAGGAGGTGATGTCTGTGGGCAGGAGGAGTGGGAGGAGTGGGGACCCAAATATGAGGTAGACGGCTGGCAGGAGGGACAACCTGTTGAAAATGCACCTACCTAAAAGTCAGGGGTGGATTTGCATGGTGTTTATTTATTTATTTTCTTTTTATAGTCTTTATTGAAAAATAAAAAGTACATAATTACAGGTGCACAGAGTAAGATAAGACACAAAGGAGGAGGAGAAAATGCATGTTAAATTATGCCTATGCTCGGAAGAAGAGAGGGGAGCTGCAATGGAGAGTCTGTAGGCAGTGCACTACCTTGGGGCAAGGAGCATCTCTCCACCTGGACTGTGACCCTCCATGCGCTCACCTGGGTGCACAGGTGTTGAGGGCCGCCCTGTTACTAGGCCTGTGGCCCCTTCTGCATCTTCCTCCCTGACGGAGATTATCGGAGGCACAGCTAAGGATAGCAAAGGAGACCTGGGGGGAAGGGCCATAGCTCAGGGACGGAACACCTGCCTTGCAGGTAGAAGGTCCCAAGAAGGCCAATTCCTGCATTTCCAGGAAGGGCTGCGAGAGAGTCCTGCCTTGAACCTTGGAGAGCAGCTGCTGGTCAGTGTGGGCAGCACTAAATCAGGTGGACTTGGCTGTAAGGCAGCTTGCTAACTTCCAATCCCATTCTGCTGCCCACACAATGGATTTCAGGCAATTGTTTATTCCATGGCCTCAGGGGAGCTTCCCTTGCCCTGTTCTGCAGCCTCTGGCATCGGCGGGGTAGACAAATAGGGGACCTGGGAACATCTGGTACTGGGGCTGCAGAGACTGGAACCCTGTGGGGAGGTTAGCCTCTAGGAGACTGAGCGCTGCATGGAGAAGGGGGGTGGCTAAATAGGAAAATAACTGCAAAATACATGCTGTGCAAATGAGTAAGAATCAATGTGTATAATAAGCACCACCTTCATATAAGTTTATGCACTTCATTAAAAAGAGGTTTCTGATGGAAACCCCTAATAAACAAAAACAAAACCCCGTAGCTTTTCTGTTGTTGTTTTTTCGCTGTATAATTTTTTATTACATTTTCCAAACATTTTCACAATCCTTTGGAATTATTACATTGTTTCATAAGTTGACTTCCCAACTCCACGGCGTTTTTACTCAGATCTTTTCTACTGCATTATATCTCTACCTATCACAAAAAAAGTTTCTGTTATTTTATAATTTTTTCTAACGCTGCTTTTATCTTGAACCCTGACAGCGATTTCATTTGACTAAAGTATTTTTTTCAAATAGTCCATGAGAGGCCTCCATTCTTTGCCTTTCTCTTTTTTGTTTTAATATAAAAAAACAGTAAATATTTAATTATTCCAGAATTTCTAATAAGAGTGTTTTTGCCTAAGAAGATAAGGCGGATTGTGACTTTACATGAATGTGTAATGCATGTTGTTGTTTAGTCGTTTAGTCGTGTCCGACTCTTCGTGACCCCATGGACCAGAGCACGCCAGGCAATGCATGCTGTAATGCATGCTGTGATCTAAATGTAGCTTAGCTGTATCATGATATATCCACTAGGCCTGCCAGCTATCGTAAGATTTTAAAGCTGCCACCCTATACACAGTCAGCTGACAGTGAGTCCTGCAGAACTAAGGGAGACTTGCTTCTGCATTTGCAGCCAGCTGCTAGCTGACTAATCATTTGCCTTACAGGGCAAACTGACACTTGTCTCCTTAGTGAAATAATAGTGTGGATTTGATGAAACGTACTTCCATGTACAGGTGTGATTGCAGCCTTAATGAATCGGTAGTTAAAGTCAGAATAAACTGCCCTTTTCTAGCCCCACAGAAGGGCATCCTTCATAGTATGCAATAATATGCAATTTAATGAACAAAAGAAGGAATGGTGTGTGCCTTTAATAAAGCATACCTTCATCCGTTTAAGAATCTTGGATGTGGAACATCTCCTATTAGAGCAGGCATAGGCAAACTCGGCCCTCCAGATGTTTGGGGACTACAGCTCCCATCATCCCTAGCTAACAGGACCAGGGATGATGGGAATTGTAGTCTCAAAACATCTGGAGGCCCGAGTTTGCCTATGCCTGTATTTGAGTAGCAAAGCAGAGCAACAGGCCTTTAAAGTTTTAGTAGGGTGAGATGCTTAAGATCAAGGTTTAATATATATATATATATGTGCACTGATTTTGGCTGACTGCCATCCCCTTTTTGCGGTCAGTGATTTTGATTGCAAGAAGGGAAACTCTAGTCGGTACCTGCCTGCCTGCCTAATTTCTCTATTTCTTTATCCCACCTCCATGGTTCTTCCCCTTTCCGGTTTATGACCTAGTTTATCTTTGCAACAAGGATGCCAATGATAGCTCAGTCGCTAGAGCAGGGGTCAGCAACCTTTTTCAGCCGTGGGCTGGTCCACCGTCCCTCAGACCATGTGGTGGGCCAGACTATATTTTGAAAATAAAAAATTAAAAAATGCATGAATTCCTATGCCCCACAAATAACCCAGAGATGCATTTTAAATAAAAGGACAAATTCTGCTCATGTAAAAACAGCTGATTCCCAGACCACCCACGGGCCGGATTGAGAAGGCGATTGGACCGCATCAGGCCCCTAGGCCTTAGGTTGCCTACCACTGCGCTAGAGCATCTTAATCTCAGGGTTGAGGGTTCAAGACCCAGCTTGGGCAAAAAACTCTTGCATTGGAGGGGTTGGATGAGATGACCCCCCTCCCCCGGTCCCTTCCAATTCTACAGTTCTATGATTCTTTAGGCAAGATTCAGACATAGTGACTTGGTCCAAGGTCCCTCAGTGAGTTTTGTGGCTAAATAGGGATTTGAATATAGGTATTGGAGCCATCTTTATAAAGTGTTGGGTTTTTTGTTGTTGTTGTAGTGGAGGAGAATGATGTAAAATTGACACTGGGAAGGGGAACAGTTTGTGCAGCCTGCACCACTAAGTATTAGTGTCAGTGGTGGGTTTTAATCTGCAACTAGGATTTTTAATTGACTAGTACTGATTTTAAATTAGTAAAGTTGCAGCCTTGGTTCTGTAAAGTATTATGGGGTCTTGGGGGGAAGAGAAATCAAGAGAAGGAAGGTGGTAGGAATCTAGAACGCATTTCTTATTTCTATCAAGGAAGGGGAGAGAAATTTGCAAGAGAATGTTCACCTTCCCTCTCCCGTTAAAAACTAAACAACAGCTGACAATTCAACACATGGAGCTTTCTTGATCGTTGCATCTCAGTGCTGGGGAAGAGCGTAGATCTGTTGAGTTTCAGCTTGTCAAATAGCTATTAAAAAACAAGCAGTGCAACCAGAAAGTGGCAACTTTCTCTCCCCCCACCTCACCCCATCCCTGCAACTATGGCATTTCCCCTATTTCCAAAACAGATTAATTAATAAAATAGATGCTGTACTGTACTTAGTCTTGTATCAGCAGTTCCCAAATGGTGTGCCAAGATCACTGTTGCATCTCTGGTGTTTGTTTGTTAGTTGGCAGTGGATAATTTCCCTACTTCACTACAACAGATTATGTGCTATGCAGAGACATAGCAGAGTCACCCGCTTTCAGAGGAGGCTGCCTGTTTTATCTCTGAATGAGTTACTGTTCCCGGTATGGCTCATTCCAAACAGGTGGCATACTCACACAGAAACACAATCTTCCAAGATTGTGCAATTTTTACATGGTTCTAAAAGCAAGTCATCCCAGGTGCAAGAGTTTAGTTCTGAAGTTAAGTGTCCTTAAGTTATTAGACATTTGACAAACATTGCAAGACAGTGTATTCATTTTCTTTAAGGGCTGTGTCTTTCTGCCCAATCCCCAGCGGAAAGGACCTTCCCCGGCTGGTATACCAATCTGTCGCCCTAGAAGTCTGCACACTCCAGCTGGCCTGGACCAGTTTGAGCTGTCTGGTTTTATCTTCTCCCCTCTCCAGATAACTTGGCAACAGACATAAAACATCCACCAGCAAACCGCCAAGCTCTCTCGGTGTTGCCAAGGTCATACCCCTTTCACAGAATTAAAATAGCCTTGCTTTGATACATGGGGGCAGGGAGACCTCTCCAGTATAGATGCTCTGCGCTTGCTGATTGAGGCTCAGTGCGCCATAGGAATAGAAGTCACCATGGGGACAGCCTTGTGCTGAGTCAAACCACTGCTCCATCTCCCATGGTAATTGTTGGACTCGAGCTCCTGTCGGTCCCAGAGATCATGGCCAGCAGTCAGGGGTGATGGAAGCTGTAGTCCGCCAACACCCAGAGGACCACAGCTTTGGTCTGCACAGACTGGCAGCAGCTCTCCAGGATTTCAGACAGTGGTCAAGGTCTGGATATGTTTCGAATTGTGCACAGGGCTTTCTGCATGCCAAACAGATGCTCTGGATAGCTCAGTCAGTTGCAGTGTGGTACTGATAACACCAAGGTTGCAGGTTTGATCCCCTATCTGAAACCCTGGAGACCTGTTTGCAGTCAGCGTCAACAGTCCTGAGCCAGATGGACCGATGATTTGGAGTTTTTTTAAAAGAGAGGTTGGGTGGCTATCTCTCAGGGATTCTTTAGTTGTTATTTCTGCATTGCAGAGGGTTTTACTAGATGATCAAAGCTTCCAGTCATTGGCCTGTCTAGCTTAGTACTGTTGACGTTGACTGCAAACAGGTTTCAGACAGAGGGGACAGCCTTATATTATACAGAGTTGTTGGGGGATGAACCTGCAACCTTTTGCATGCAAAGCAGATGTTCTACCACTGAGATATGGACCAACCTTCCTGGTTCTTCCCCAACTTTGTTCTTTCCCTACCTTGTTCCAACAGCTGCCCTTTGTCAGCCAGGCTTCCCAATCGTCCCCCGCTTAGCGGCTGGCCTTTAAAAGTGAATGCTTTCGTCACCCCAGGCTCATGGAGTAGCTGCATGTGTCAACCCTTAGCAAGATCGCCAGATCTCCAGTGAAGCTGACCTCTCGCTTTATTTCCCTTCCTCTCCTCCCTGCTGCAGCAGCCATGGGTGAGTGGGGGTTCTTGAGCTCCCTTCTGGACGCGGTGCAGGAGCACTCTCCCATGGTGGGCCGCTTCTGGCTGGTGGTGATGCTCATCTTCCGCATCCTGATCCTGGCCACGGTGGGCAGCGACGTCTTCGACGACGAGCAGGAGGAGTTTGAGTGCAACACGCGGCAGGTTGGCTGCAAGCAGATCTGCTACGACTTGGCCTTCCCCATCTCCCACTACCGCTTCTGGGTCTTCCACATTGTGGTGCTCTCTGCCCCGGCGGTCCTCTTTGTCATCTACTCCATGCACCAGACCACGAAGATCAACCAGAAGGAGATGGAAACGGGAGAGGAGGAAGCCAGCCGGGTGGGGGGAAAGGCCCCTGCAAAATTCGGGCCTCAGCCCAGCCAGCGCAGCCAAAACATCAAGACCTTCTACATTGTCAACGTGGTGGTGAGGATCTTGGCCGAAATGGGCTTCCTGGTCGGACAGTGGATGTTGTACGGCTTCCAGGTGGGGTATCAGTACATCTGCAAGCATCACCTGTGCCCTCACCTCATTGACTGCTTTGTCTCTCGGCCAACCGAGAAGACCATCTTCATCCAGTTCTACTTCATGGTGGGGCTGGTTTCAGCCTTGCTCAGCCTGGTGGAGCTGGCCCACCTCTTGTTCAAGAACCGCTGCAGGAGGCGCCGCACGATTGCCCCACCCACCACTGCCTCTTACGAACAGCAGGACAACTGGTCCAATCAGAAGCAAGAGAAGAAATCGCAGCACTTCCTGGCCCCGGCAGAGGGAGGCGCCAATGGCCTGCCTTCTCATGGCGGGATTCCCAGTCACTATGAGCCCAAGGCTCACTTCCACCATAAGAGTTCCACGAAGAGCAGCCGGTCCTCTCGCTCTTCTTCTGCCAGAGCTGACTTGACCGTGTGAGGCCAGGGAGCTCCCCTCTTCTCTGCCTAGCTGGTTGTTCCCTGGATGAGCTGGACTCCTCCGGCTGGAATAATCGCACCCGTGAACTGTGTTTGCAGCCTGGCCCAAATTAATAGCACTGATATCGGATCATCTGGTCTAGCTTGTAAAGGAGACCTGCTGCAATCCTTGGGGATTCGTGCTTTGCTTTCATGTATGTTTGGGGGAATTGGGGTGGGCTGGGCTGGCATCTTTCATTTATACAGTGGACGCTCAGGTTGCGAATGTGATCCGTGCGGGAGGCACGTTCGCAACCCACAGCGCCTCATCTGCGCACACGTGGGTTGCGATTTGGCGCTTCTGCGCATGCACAAAGAACGATCTAGTGTTTCTGCGCATGCGCGACTGCCGAAACCCAGAAGTAACCCATTCCGGTACTTCCAGGTTTCAGCGCATCCATAACCTGAAAAAACGCAACCTGAAGCATCTGTTACCTGAGGTATGACTGTAGTGTGTTCCAAAGAATGCATAGGCTTGAAACCCCTAAGAAATGAGTCAGGAAGCTACACACATCGGAAGGAGTGGAAGTGGGGAGACAATGACTTTTCCAACAATGCACAAAACTCTTGTCCAGATGAGCAACTCCTGCTTGAATGGGCTAAAGATTTGGCAGCAAACCTGGCTATACAGAAGTGTGATGTCAGATGCAATTGGGGATGCTGCGATTGTTGGCAGTGGGGAAACTGCAATAAAAGGGGATTCCTTTTTCTTGTTAAGATGGTGTACCATCGAGCCACTGTGTGTTCTGAAAGAGGGAAAAGAACTTGGTTTTAGTTAGTTGAAAACAATTAGATGAACGCCAGGTACATTGATTTGGCTGGGATGCAGCTCTTGAGGCCAGGAGGGTCTGTAAATCTCTTTCTAGGAAGAATTGATCCATTCAGGAGAATGTCTCTAGGGCATTCTGTTGAAGCAAGAGGTGGGATAGCTGGCATTTTTACGGTTGCTCACACAGGGTAGGGATGTTATGCCTTCCAGGAAAGAGGCAGTCGTCAGTTGGTGGGTTCTTTGCTGTGCCAGAGCGAAAGGTGGGATAGTCATGTGACTTAAGAACCGTACCTGCATAGGTTGTGCTTCCGTCTTCCAGGAGCTTGCCAGTGTCTTTAGCATTAAATAACTTTCCATCCCATTTGGCCAGGCAGAATGAGGAACCCCAACAGAACCAGACATCAGAAAGATAGAAAAGTGTGGTCTAAAATTGGGGGTGGGGAACCTCAGGCCCTCCAAGTCTCTCCACCTGGCCCTTGAGTTTCTTCCCAGGCCACACCTCCTCCCCAGCCACATCCCTCATTGGCCCTGATTCACACCCTCCTTGGGTGGGGTTTTTTGCCTGGCTGGAATGTGCCCTTGATCTCTGTTAATGCCTCTTGCTTGCCTGGGCAGGGGATAGAGAGGCATGGTGTACAGAAGCTATACTACTGTACAAAGGTTAAATTTGCATTCATTGCTCCGCCCACCCTTGCCTCTGGCCCCGCCCACCATTGACATGTGTCACTAAGAAAGCTGCCCAGAAGAGAACACGACCCTCGGCTGAAAAGGTTCTGCCCTGCTGCCCTGCAAAGTATAGTGTCAAATGGATATTTATATCCTGCTAGCAGGCTTCCACATACAGTGTTAACATTACCAGAAGTAAGTATGGCTCCCATCAGACAGGGAGATGTCCCTGGAGCCCAAACCCTTGGGTGTGTTGCATCAAACCCCTCTCCATGCCCGGAAAGATTTTTATCCAGACTATTTTTAACATTTCCCATGGCAAATGTTCCTCCTCCTCCTCCTCTCTTGGGACCATATTTCCCTGTCCAATTGTTTTTGAAATAGAGAATTCCCCCGTTATGACAGTAACTCCACCACTGGAGATTCAATATAGTTTCCTCTGTCTGAGACCCAAGTCTCAGCCTGTGGAGTCTCCAGGAACTCTCTGAGCACCCCAGGAACCCTCTCTGAAGCCTTTAAACTGTCAGGTGTATGAAGGCATCAAGCTTGTCTTAGAGCCAGTGGCGTAGCGTGGGTTGTCAGCACCCGGGGCAAGGCAAGTAATTTGCACCCCCTAACCCGTGCATTTGCGCCCCCTAACCTGTGGATTTGCCCTAACCCCAGATGTTGCGCCCAGTGCGGCCGGCCCCCCCTGCACCCCCCACGCTACGCCACTGCTTAGAGCTTAGTTTGCTGCTGTCCTTTGGGCGAGGAATCCACTGCCTCTTTTAAAAAAAAAAAAACAAAAAAAACAACCCACGAAATGATATGGATGAGTGAAGGAAGAGAGGAAAATTTCGATTCAGTTTGTATTTAGACCTGAATCTTGTGAACAAAACCATTACTGTGGATTTTGCCATGAAGTTCTCTAGCCAAGTAAGGTGTGCAAAACTGCATATACTATGGTAAATTGTGCTTAAAAATGCATATAACTGTGAAAATATCACACACAACAACACTGTATTAGTGGGGATTACTTTGTAATAATGTGTATATTGTGCACATTAGGAGAAGTTTGAGTCTTCACGAAGACTTTAAAACATGCAAACCTATGTGGAAAGGTAGAGAAGTGGACACAAAACTGGGAAAATAAAGAAACGGAGAGAAACCAGAATGATAAAGATCCATCAGTTCCTAGATGAGGATTGTGTAGAGGGGCTTAACCTTATCAGGATGCTTCTTGGAAAGGCATTAATAAAACAGATATCCCTCCCTCCCAAACAACCCCAGGGCGGCAAACACTTATATGACCAAAACTGCAGTTAAAAATAAAACAAAAAAGGATTTAAAACTGAAAAAAACCACACAGCTGAAAACATTAAAATGCTCAAAGCAAATTTAAGACCAGTTGTAATCAAATGGCGTGTCTGGATGGGCTCAACTGAAGCAGAAATGTTTTCATCAGGTGTCAAAACGGAGGCAGCGACGGCACCTGAGGAGAAAGTCCTATGGGAGCCATGTTGCACTTGCTCAGAGGCTGCAGTGTCTTACGGCCTGCTCTTGGGATGTCTGAGCCCTTGAAAATATTAAGCCCTAGTTGACTGATGAGGGGAAAGAGCTGTCTGTTGCAGGATAGCTAGGTAAAAGTAAAGGACCCCTGGACGGTTAAATCCAGCGCTCATCTCACTTTCAGGCCAAGGGAGCCAGTGTTTGTCCACAGACAGCTTTCAGGGTCATGTGGCCAGCATGACTAAACCGCTTCTGGCGCAATGGAACACCGTGATGGAAACCAGAGTGCACGGAAACACCGTTTACCTTCCCGCTGCAGTGCTAACTATTTATCTACTTGCACTGGTGTGCTTTCAAACTGCTAGGTTGGCAGGAGCAGGGACAGAGCAATGGGAGCTCACCCCGTCATGGGGATTCGAACCGCCAACCTTCCAATCAGCAAGCACAAGAGGCTCAGTGGTTTAGACCACAGCGCCACCCTTTTCAGTTGCAGGATAACTTCATATGGCACCTATCACTGTTAAGTGGATTCTTTCTACCCATTAACGTTGCAAATGGTTGCAAAGTTGGCATAGTCTCTTGGATATAAACCTTGGATCTTGTAGCTTGTTTCACTGTTTCGATAGGCGAAAGGATGAGTTGGAGCGCTTGCAGACTGAGAGGTTGGGTGGCTCTGAATCTCAAGCGGCAAAGGGAGCAGCTTTGTTTCTCTAGTAAGAAATAACTCCTCTTCTTTCTCTCTCTCCTTACGCTTTGGGCTCTGCTCAGATGGGATGTGCCCAGGGGCTTGCAGTGGCCTCCACTCTAGTGTGGTGGGGGAGAGGCTGGTGGCCTGGGGCCAAGAATACTTGTTATCACCTGCTTCCTGTGGCGGATGGGATGGGACCCTGGCCACAGAGGGGGCTGGAAAAAAGAGGAGAGAAAGAAAAACAAAAACAGGGAGGGATGTGGAGCCTCTTCCCATTCTCCTTCCACCTCTCCCGATTAACCCCTTCTTTCTTGCCCTCGAGGCTTTGTGTAGACACAGGGGTCTATTGGCAAATTCAGAGGCTCAGGGTACCTTCGTGAAAGTCACAGCCACGGCCCTTCACTGCCACGTCCCTTCTCAAATTATACAATCCTATAAGATAATATGGTAATCTTATAATACAGTAATAATAATCAGGGATGCATTGCAGCTATCTGTATCCGTGTGTGCCTTTCAGCTAGATCTATTTTCCATGCACATAGACGGGCAAATGATCTGGACTGCATCTTTTGTGCTTCATAGAATCGTAGAATTGTAGAGTTGGAAGGGACCCGAGGGTCATCTAGTCCAACCCCCTGCAATGCAAGAATCTCAACTAAAGCTTCCATGATAGATGACCATTTGGTCTCTGCTTAAAAACCTCCAAGGAAGGAGAGTCCACCACCTCCTGAAAGAGATCTTTCCATTGTCAAACAACTCTTACAATCAGACAGTTTCTCCTGATGTTTAGTCGCAGTCTCAATTGGTGTTTACCATGAAGTTCCATTGTACTTAACAGAACTTGCCCCCGTTTTTTGGTGTGTTTTTTTAAAACAAAAGCGCCGTGTGTTTTCAGTTTTGCTAAATGCTTTGCTTTAGAGGCTGCAGTGGCTAAAAGGCTTCCCTTTTGCACTGATTGGGCAGTTCTAGGATGTGGGAGATAAGGACCTTTCTGTGGAAGGAGCAAGGCATCTTCGACCTACCCACAACCCACAACCCCAGGCCACTAAACCACTGACTATACCTTCAAGGCACATTTGAAGCACATTCTTTCCCTCACACAATTCTGGGCATTGTAGTTTGCCCCCCACAGTTACCATTCTCAGAAAACCCCTAACAGGGCCCATAATTCCTTAAGGCTGGAAGGGGGTGCATTTAGAATGTGCTTTAATGGTATAGCATGCACACACCCCAAGAGAAAATGTGATTTGCAGATGAAATTAAGGGTGATTTGGCACCCAGCCAGCCTGCAACCTGAGATGTGATAAGTTTCTTTATGGATTTCTGTCAGACCAATCTTCTTTCCTTTTCGGCCTACATGCTCCCTCAGTGGTCTGTCCTAGGACCTGTCTTTTTACCTCTCAATCCCATTTAAAGGTAAAGGTACCCCTGCCTGTACGGGCCAGTCGTGTCCGACTCTAGGGTTGTGCGCTCATCTCACTTAAGAGGCCAGGAGCCAGCGCTGTCCAGAGACACTTCCGGGTCACGTGGCCAGCGTGATGAAGCTGCTCTGGTGAGCCGGCTCCAGCGCAGCACACGGAAACGCCGTTTACCTTCCCGCTATAAAGCGGTACCTATTTATCTACTTGCACTTAGGGGTGCTTTCGAACTGCTAGGTGGGCAGGAGCAGGGAC